ATGTCCTCCAAGCCCCCCCCCCCCCATTTTGTATTCGTAGACGTCGTACATGTATACACATTGGTATTTTAAATGAGTATATCGCATCAGTTTTTAATTGCCCTCTTTCATGGGAAATATATTTGAATCCTCCACCTCTTCTGGATGGACAAACCAATCCAACAATTTAAAAGGGGCAGAAAATGGTTTCTCGGTGAGAAAACCAGAGAGACTGTTAATTAACGATCTTATGTGTGTAAAAGTATTTATGTGTGCCACAAAACCGCCAGATACCTGATTTTAGGGAGATCGGCCAGTAAACAAGTAGCATAGCAGTTTTCCGCCATTTCTTAAGCCGCCATCTTGAAAGAAAGGCAATTTCATCAAATCTGATGTCAGATCCATTCTCTTTGTACTCCAAAACCCTCAAGTAGGTATTCGATTCCACCTAAATCGACCCGAGAAGGACAAAGGTATCATTTTGTCGCCATTTTGAAACGGCGATAGAAGGCGGCGACCTGCGATTTCCCCCATTACTTCAAACAAATGTTATGTTTTTTCCAACGACGCACCACACGATGGGGGCTACTACTTGAGATTCGATCCCCCCCTCCCCCATCTCTCTATCTCTCTATATCTTTCATCGATCTGTCTTCTCCTTTTTTCAATTTTGTCTGTTGCTAAAAACTAAACAAATAGATTTTTCATTACTCGTACCTCCCTGAAAAACTGCCATGAGTGTTATTTCGTGTCATCGACCTTTTAGCTCTTTTTATAGATGCGCCAAGATTGCTTCTTGCTGATCGAATAAATGTGCTTGTCATGCTTGTCGTCCTTTTTGTTTCCTTATTTGCATTTGCCATTCTTGTTTGCAGGACAGGGACTGTTCGAGCGGTGGCATCTTGGTTCCCGTCTTCCAAGACAAAAAATCCAGTGTTTTCCACAGTCCATACATCCTTGCGTCCTCTTTCTCGTCTACCCTCCTGCTCTCGAAATAAACAATGCTCAAAGTTTAACAATATGTGCGCAAGTAGGTATATTCTCAAATTAAAATGCATGTAAGCAGTGAGTATACTGATGCAATCTCTGGATAAAAGAGCGGTCCTCAAACTGCGGTTGCCAATGATCGAACAACTTATCATGCACGATACAAATTGAAACATAGTTTACTCCTATCTTACGTTATCTCTTCCTCACTTGTTGGGGTTGCGTTGGGGCAGCGGAGTGCAACGAGGAGGCGTGAATTATCGATCATATCGATATTTCCCCGTTTGAAGCTATGATAAAGAATCGATTATCAAGGTAGGTGTTCGTTGCGAACACCCTGTTTATCGATCCTTTTCCGTAGGTTTAAAGGGCAGATCAATCGATACATCGCAAAGCACGCCTCGCCACCGTGGATATCTCTGCAGTGTACCCCGCTGTGATGGTGTTGTTTTGCGGGCTGTTACGGTTTAAGTAGAGTTGCTGCCCTGCTGTTCCACTAGGCCCTGGTTACCAGATATTCTTCATCTTTATCTATCTATCGTAACTGTATTCTTATCCTCATATGTTACCTCAATGAGGCTAATTCCTCGTAAAAGTCACCTGCTTTGAAGAAAAACAACGTTTAAAAACAAAAAACAAAAAAAACTGTGATCTGTATTAGAAAGATCCATTACCCTAATAAGAGTAAGTCGTGCAATTTTGCATAGAAATGCTTGATTTACAAGATGAAAAAAAAAGACAAAAAAACACCCGTGGAAATTAGTATTTACTTGCCGATCGCGTGGGAGATAATGTGTGTCCGTGAAATTTACATGGAAGTCATAAAAATTCCATGGAATTTTCATGGAAATAATGCGATTACCATGCATCTTGGAAATGTAATAATTTCCGTGTAACAAAAAAACGCTATTTTGCGATGCAGTCTGCTTAAAAATGTCATCCTTCCCTAAAAAATGTGTATTTTTATGCCTGAAGAGGAATGAGCATTATTCTGATTTTCATGCTGAATTGTCAGCAGGAGAATCAATCTGCAAATGTTACCAAGCTGCTTGATGTTAAGCAGAAAAATTTTGTGGAAATCAGGAGCATGGAGAATGGGACGTAAGCCGGGATTGGTTTAATCTAAATCGTGCATGGAATGCAATAAATTCCAATACAGTTTAATCAAGAATAGTAGCGATGTTCAAGTGAAGAGACATCCTGAAAAGTGTGATAGGGGGTTTTAAGTGGAATGAGGGAGTGCCAAGTCCCATAGGAAAGCAGGAAACGTTGGCCAAAAACCGCATAAAGACCTGATTTTGATGCTTTTTTATGTTGTCGCTTGTCAGCACGTTTAAGTTGCCATGAGCAAAAAATATTTGAATCAATTAATGGAAACTTTAACTAGCTTTGATTTTGAAAATGACTAATTTTGACGTCAGATGAACTCTCGGCAAGTTACGGGACATAACCCTCCCCCCCTCCCCTAAAGGCTGATTTTAAGCCACCTCAACGGAATGTGGCAACTCCCGGGCAAATATTTGGCGATGCAAAGTTGAATTTCGGACTCAGCGTCAAAAATTACATCGATGACTTCAATGTCGGGGGCAAAATCGTCGATTTTGAATAACTCCTTTCAAACAATCGATGCATTTTTTGGAAAATTGACGATGTGTCAATAAAAATCAGTGATAGTTTACTTCATCGGCACAATGTACGACACTGAAAATAAGTTGAGGTGTAAGAGAAACAAGCACAGCACCCTCAGTTCGTATCGTATACGACGAACACTAAACGAATTCCATCACAACGCCTGCATGCAGCTATTGGGGGTCCACGGCTGTGCGTGTTGCAGACGCACTGGAATGAAGGCGTTTTGGCTCTCCCGGCACTCACCGTTTCACCCGCGGCGGCAAGCTGAACTGCGAGGATCTTAAATGACAGAGTGCCTTCAATTCTTCGTCTATACTACGAAGATACCTTTTAGGTACGAAAAGCTACTCTACAAATCATGCCCAGTACATCGCTAAAGTAAAACTGAAACACGATATGTACTCACATCCTCACACTTTACACCTGAACTTTATTCCAGCATCGCCCGTTGCAACGATGAAGTAAACTATATCTGATTTTTATCGTAAGTAACATTGTCAATTTTCCGAATTGTTTTCAATTGTTTCAATGTATTAACACGTCACCCTCGAATTGAAACGAACCCTGAATTCTTGGTAATTTTACCTTTTTCTTAGTAAATACACCGAGATTTTCTTTTCAGTGCATTTTTATTTTCTACGTGGAAAACGACTAGGCGTTATTTAAAAAAAAAATTAAAAAAAAAGATTTTTCCTCTCTCTGTGAGGAATATTCTGCGAAAACAAGCCATGGTGTTGATCCAGCATCCTTTTAAAAAATATGACAGGACCGGAGATTTCGCAACACCGCAACCGAGATAGGCATTTTTGAGGTGCCACCTTCGTTATGGAACATGAAACTTTCGGCGTTTACGATCGAACTTTTTTCTCTTCCTCATTGTAACAAAGCCCGGGAGGAGCAATATTTCATGGGCCGTATTCGATAGTGGCTCGAAGTATCGTTAAACAAACAATTGAACATAACCTCAAACAAAACTTTTAGGTTTTAAGTTGGAAAAGCTGAGAATGAGAAAATTCCTAGCAATTTCACTTTCCATAGGCATTTGATACTCAAAAGAATAAAAAATCCATCACAAAAGACCCGTTCCCTCAGATTTGCAAATTGACTTTTGAGGCTATGTTTACACGTTGAACCAATCAATATCGATACAATCTCACATCTTTGATGTATAGAATACGATTTATTGAGTTTTATAAATACCTGATTGGAGGAGGGTGGATTTCCTACAGCTGTTGAGAGCGTTTGCGCCACTGGTCGATGTTCAGCGCAATTCATATGATCACCCGCGTTGCAAAGAACCTGCGAAGCAAAAATTAGATGATATTAGGCTAAAACTAAACAAACTACAGAAGGGGCGCATTTTGAAGGTAATTAAATCGAATCCCTGTACCAGTTTTTCCCATACTTTTTTTTTCTTCTTCTAATGGTTGTGATTTTCACGAAATCTGTAGACTTCAACACGAAACAGCATCCTGACTGGGTATGGTGGAGATTACTATTTAAAAATGCCGTTTCTTGACGGAAAAAAACAAATATAATGATAACATGATAACATAAGACGGAAAAAAAGTGACAAAAATCAAAATTGAATATCATTGTCAGTGAAGCATTAATCATTACCATAAGCTCTCTGATCCCTTAAATTTTCATTTTAAATCTCAGTTCGTCCTACCACTTCATTGCGTCGATTTCCATGGTTTTTGTGGCTTTTGATTTCCTTTTTTCTCCTAAATTTATCATATTTTCATCGTCATGTATTGCCCTTAGTATTCATTCGTTCACTTATATTCCCCATAACATTTCTTTTAAACTGTTCTTTTTTTAAATACAAGATTTCTTCATTTAGTGCTTCAAAATTTCATTTTACCAATTATATTTGAATTTAGATTATCAGTCTTGCCAATCTATACAGGCAATAAACGTAAGCTTACAATCTACACAACTATTTACAGGCGATACAAGTATTGGACCATTTCGGATTTCCTATCGCCTAGAATTGAATTAAACCCAGGCGCGCTAATAAAGTGTTAAAAAGGTACTTCTTCGCGTATGTGTGTGTGTGTTCAAAGTTATAGCATGAAATTTACGGTGATGTAACTATTGGATCACGTGAGAATCCCTGTTGCCTAAACTGGGATATTGAAGGCGAACTGCCAATGCTTTAAAATTAACTCTCTTTTTCAGCAAAAAGATATGTTCAGGTGTTTTTTGAATAAACGTGATATTTACGGTGTAAACATGTATGAATACACGTAACCACGTATGAATTCATGCTGCCTACACTAAGAATTGAATTTCGAGTGAGCGTGCTATTTCACGATACTACAAGTGCGATCACGCCACAGTTGAACCGATTATTTTCCAAAACACGTGAGCGCCAAACTTTATTTTGGTGGTAGAGAGGTTATTTTTTTTTTTTGCTTTCTCTGAATCAATCATGTTTTATTTCAAAAAAACCTTTTCGGAAAAATACATTTTTTTAGAATTCGAAGATTGTCAACAAACGAACAAGGTTTCTATTGTTTTGCGCATTCGCAATTTTGGCGCTTACGTGGTTTGGAAAATAATCGGTTTAATTGACTTTTTTGTAGTTTTGATTCTCCCTGGTAGCCCGTCACGCGACAAGGAGTGGATTTATTCAGACACATCTAATATTTTCATGTTTATTTTCATGAACTTTCATCGCTATGTAGTCAGTTGGCTATGGCAACTGGCAACAGACCTATCGTAATTTTATGTTTTCGAATTTTCGCACTTGAGCTCTACTAATTGGACGATTTTACCTTTACCAACGGAGCGTAAAAAAACTTAGTTGATGCTTTAGCCTTTTAGTATAACGTGTCGAAATCCAAAAACTATAATGGGGAGTGAAAAATGTACAGACTAGAACTTCGCGAAATGTCAGATTTGCACGGATTCACACATATTGCTCGCTCTCACTGAGAGAAACAAGGAAAATAAAAAAAAGGAAAATTGCCCGATTTTTTTTTTTTTTTTTTTTTTTTTTTTTTTTTTTTTTACGAAACGCAGGTTACGTGGATTTTAATACCCGTGTTCTTGAATTTGGTGTAAATACTTCACCAATATTTTCATGTTTTTTCATAATAATGATAATGAAAAATGTTTGATTACAAAATTACTAATAGAGGGACGAAAATGACCTTCCTGCATCGTATTAATCTTAAAAATAAGTAACATTAGAATTTTAGAGAACGATGTATTAACGTAATTTTCTGTTTCCGCCTTTCTTTAATTCTCCCCTTTTCCCGCCGCTAACTTGACTGTCGCTCCTATTTTTAATCGTTCCTCTCGTAATTTATAGGTTTTCTTTTATTCGCTTTTATTTTTTGGTATTCCTTGTTCTATTTCCCCTTTTATCTCCTCACGTTTTTCCATTCCTTTCATGCGACTGATAATAATGATACTCGCCTATCATTATCATCATATTTCCATCGATATCTGCTAACAAATAAATAGATGGATACAAATTCTATGCAATGTTCCGATTTGAAAATAGAACACAAGGAAAGGAGGGGAGAGTAGAGAGTGTATAGTGGAGGAGATAGAAGGGTTTGAATTGAGATTTCCATTTACGTCACACACGGGTCTACCGTTTCCTAACGTCATTTTTTTCTAAGCTCTATGCTTCAGCGGAATGTCTAATTTCAGGAAAACGAGTTCAGAGATCAGTGAAAGTTCTTTCACGGTAGGTCGAGTGTCCCAACAATTGCTGTCAATTGTACCACGAACGCTCAAAGACTGGGTAACATTGCAACATGTTGAGTGCTCCGAATATGAAAGCTTTGAAAAATCCAGCGCGTAACATGGCACAAAGTTACTTTCTGAGTCGTTATTGAGTAGAAATTGACGAGGAGGGGTGAATCTCGACCTGGTCTGTTTGTTACTGGTCGACCAAACTCGTTTTGAAGATATCAATAGCTCAGAGCAAAAGGGTCTCAGAAATATATTATTTCCGTTTTGAGATTTAATTTTTGAAGTTTTATATCCGACATTTAATATGATTACCCAATTCATTTACGCACATGGAGCTCGCGTTTTGAGGGTGCAATGACTCGACTTTTTAAACAATTTGTTTACGACTCTTCCTGTTAGTGAGAGTGACTTTCTGTTAGCGAGTAGTTGATTTTTTCTCTCCTTTTTTTGTCACACTAAGCAGTACAAAAAATATCATTCACTTATCAAGGGAAAATAGAGAAAATTGGAAGTGCAATTATACTTCTGCAGAATATTCAATTTTATTCCGCAGAAAGCTATAGACAAGACATCGCAGTTTGCGGAATTTTAAAACAAATACATTCCTATATTGTTTGTTACATTGGGAGAAATTTTTTTAACCAATTGTGACGAGCAGAAGTTTGGCACAGTTTTGCTAAATGCGCGTATCCATGTAATATCACAGGCTAACCTTCGAGAACAAGTGCATCTCAGGGCTCTAATAGTTTTGCTTATTTGATTTAATTTTTCTGAAGAAAATATAACTAACATTTTTGCTTGAAATTTTCACCGTACTGAAGAAATTTTCCATTTAAACATTCCCGGACGAAAATTCTCGTTGAGGTGAAAGTCTCTTCGAAGTGACAGGATTTCTCTTTGAAATAATAGAAATACCGTTGAAACAAGGAGATTACCCGAGATTATTGGAGAGAAACATTGCATCGACGAAACGAGTGCATTGTTATTGGATTATTATTAGGAGATTATTGGCCCACTAGAAAAGTTCACTATGTGCAAATGACATAATAATAAAACACGAACAAATAAAACGATATAAGTAAGTAAACCACAGTTTATAAAATTCAATTCTGCTTCATTTGGTGCAAAATGACAATAAATTATGAAAATCGAGTATCGACTGGTTGAGAGCATAACAAAGTTAGAGAACGATAAATTATGGATTCAAGAGAAATACAGAAACGATTTGTGGACGATGTTACCATTTTTGAAAGTGACTCAAATGAAATGCTTCAAATGAAAATTGTGGTTTGAAATTCTGACTCAATGTCCTTATCAGTATCTGAGAGAATCTATTGAAACTGAAAATGAGTATTTTTAACACGAAGGAGGTTTTTTTGCTAAACTGAGCAATTTGAGTTTCCGCCGTAAAGGCTCTTTTGCCGGACTGCATTAAAAATCTCCTTGGATGAAGTGCATTGTTTCTATACTTAAGATTATAATATACGCCTAAAGTAAGGAAGTTATTACCAGGCAGAGACAGATCGGGAGCAACCACATCGAGAACATTGCCATCCTCTCACACTGCCTTTTATCAGTCGACTGATCGAAAAAGGACTCCGCGTCGAAAAGCTAGTATCACCCTACTGACGCGGCCCGTTCAATGATTTCAATACCTACTGTTTGACTCCATAAACCGCGGAGTGGAGTTATATATACGTGCGGTTTTTTTTTTTGCTTCTTTCCTTTTTCATGCGTGCCTATGCACACGAGACTGTTCAAAAATGTCTAAGGATACATTAGATCCCCGGGTAGAATTTTTCTCACGGAAAAAAATCGCTTCGCAAAAAAATGGTTCAAATCATGCGGCGCGGCGATGGAGGAATATTCCGCTCGTCTGCGCTGCTAGTAATCGTCAGTGGCGTGTCGCTTTGCGATATATCGATTGTTATGCCATTTAAACCCATGGAAAAGGATCGATAAACACGGTGTTCGCAGCGAACACCTTAATAATCGATTCTTTACCATAGGTTTAAATGGCATAACAATCGATAGATCGCAATTCACGCCACGCCACTGGTAATCGTCGACGACCACGCAAAGGTGCGTATCAGTATTCTGCCGCGCTAAGGAGGAACGCCGTATGAGCCACCAGGAGTTGCCAAATTTCGCCGCATAAAAAATGAATTTTTGAGGAAACTTACGAATATTTTTCCTTGAAATTTTCAAATCCTCCGGGTCAAATTGCTAATGGAGTTCTCTGAAAAATTGGAGGAAAAACAACCAACATTTTCCCTGGAAATTCGTACAATATCGAAAGCAATTTGGCAACGCCTGAAGGCTCACACGGCGTTCTTCCTTAGCTCGGCAGCATTGGGATGTCGCAAAATCTCCATGGATATACCATTTATAAAACAAATCCTCATTACAACTTTAGGTTCAGAGGCTTCACATTTTTTTTTCCCCCCAATGTAAACGAAAATTGCACCGTTCTCAGAAAAATTCGACGAATGGGTTACCCGTGATGGGATGGAATGATCCCGGATATTTTGAGGCACCGTCATATGTGTAGATCAGCTTGCATGCGCGGCTAACAACACTAACAGATTGACAAATTTTCGCGTTTTTTCTGATTTCGTCATGACAAATTTAACAATGGGAGCGCATCATCCATCGTCCGGAGTACAATGAACCACCGGGAAGCTTCGAGTCTGTCGTGTCCGATTGTGCGATGACCTTAAGACCGCAGTAGGTTGGCAATATGTTCAGGGGGGAAAACGGTAAAATTATGTCAAGTTAAATCAAGTAAACTCTTCTCCTTCACCCCTTCCTTTGCATGATCATGCTCAATCGTCAGTTTCAATCATTCGGTCAAATATCGCCGAAAGAAAAAACCGAATAGAATAAGGAGGATGAAACAGTGTTGCAGCCGGAGAAATATCGCTCGATAGGGATGATTCCGGCGTCATCCGGGTAGATATGCAGCCGTGAGTTTGGTTTAGTTGGTCGGCTCGCCTTTCGGTTCCCGATCACCCTTTGCCAACTCCTGATCAGGGTATTTTTTTCTAAATTAGAGCCTAAACCAACATATGATAGTTTAACCAATATCAAGACGACCATCTGGCCGAAACCCACCCCATGTTGGGGTATGGTATTAGTGCGAAACGGATGGAAATAATCAAGACACACAAAACTGCAGAATAGGTGGAGACGTTAGTTTAAGAAAAAGATTTATGCCGCCGAAAGACAGCTGTTTTATGAGTCCTGTAGCATGGAAACCGAGTGAAGCCGATGAATGAAAAAGCAGGAGCGTGAAAGGGATGATAGATAGATAAATAGAAGGGAGAGAGAATCAAGCGGAGAGGGAAGAATGAGCAGAGCCGCAAAGTAGCTGTGCATTGAGACCTGCATCTCGAAAAACGGAGTAAATTAGATTAATGAATTAACAAGGGCATGAAAGGGATTACCGAACACAAAAAAAGACAAGAGAGGTGGCAAGGGAAAAAACCCTTAAAAAAGTGGCACCATGAGGATAGTGACTTTTTAGGAGTGGTTTAAGAGAATGAGAGTGTCAAGAATATAGGGATTATTATGGGTGAATCAAGGTGGTTGCGTGATTACAACTGTAATTGTAACCGGCGTAATTGCATTTTTTCTCTCCTTTTATCATTATTTTCTTTTTAATTTTTTTGTATTATTATTTCAGACTGGTTTTTCCGATTTTTCAGTTTCTGTTCTGGTGTGCTCATGTTTCCGGTTATTATGTAATTAGTGCATTTTTTAAACGTGGATCTCATACTACGAAACCCTAGCTAATTAGATGAATGAATTAGCTGGGGCGTAAAAGGGATGATTTTGGGGGAAAATTTGGTAGGAGAATTTTCAAAAAATCGAGTAGACAAATAAATTGACTGGGATCACAAAATTGGGAACGAGGGATGGTGAAAGAAAGAGGCAAAACACGCCAGGATAAGCGGACCCTGGTAATAATTGGCGATAGGAGCTGCGTTTCAAAATACCACAAGAGTTCTTACAGCCGACTAAGAAGGCTATTGAAAATCATATAGCTGGTCGTAGAAAGCGGAGCAAATCATATAGCCAGGCTATACGAAGCTATAAAAAAGTATTCAGTGGGGCTATAGTTCCTATCGCCTGGCTGTTCCTTTTCCGCCATCGGCTATAAAGGGCTATAGGAAATTGTGTAGAAATTCGTGTGCTTTGGAAATCCTTAAGTTTGTACGGAATCATCTTAATATTTACAAAACGCACATTATATTTTCCTTTACTACATATTTTTTTTTTATCAATTAAAATGAGAATGATCCATACAGAGTGTGCAAACATTTCAAAGTCATGAGTTGAAAAACACTGACTCCACGAGATTAAATATTAGAGCCTAACACAAAGCTGAGCGGCGGCGCACTGGCGCCTACAAACCTAACAGGGATACTTCACGCATTACGCAATGCGTGAAGTATCCCTGTTATGTTTGTAGGCGCCAATGCGCGTTTCGCGCTCTCTGCCCGCCCGCCGCGCCGCAGCGTGCCACGGCGTCTGAAGCAACTATTTCACACCAGAGGTATTGCACAGTGTCATAAGAAATTGAAGGCGCTCCAACATATTAAGAATGACAGGCATTCCTCAAAAGCACGGAGCTTTCCTCGCAAAGTAAATCAAGATACTACGGCCCAAAAAAAGAGCGGTAGTCCAAAAACTAACTAAGTCCTAGCATCCGTATTTAGTAACGTTTGGCATAAACTTTATCGTCTGGCTGTTGCTCAATTGCCATCGGCTATAAAAGGCTATAAGAAATTGTACAGCCGGCTACAGAAGCTATTGGAAATCTTACAGCCGGCTTTAGGTCTATAGTATTTTGGAACACGCATTCTACTGCCAATTTTTACCAGGGGAGCCTCTTTGTAGCTGTTTAATTAGTCCCGTGGCACGAAAACCGATTGAATTAGATTAATTTATGAGCTGGGACTCGAAAAGGGTCATGGACAGAGCAATGGGAAGGAGAATTGGCAAGGGAAAGGTGCAGTCAAGAGCGGAGCCTCGGGTGGATCTTGCAGAGTGGTTAAGAATTTAAGACTTTTTCAGAGACTTTCTAAGAGCAGTTGAGAGATGTCAACTGCGATCGGATCACCACGCAAATACTGTTTCCTTTTTTTTCACTAATACAGACCTAAAAACCACTTCCACAGCACCCTCTGGCTCTCCGCGACGCTTGACTGCCGCGGTGCTCTATCCTCCCAAAATCCTTCAAGGAGGTGACACACATGTGAACTCCCCATGGCACAGTGGAACGAGCTCAAAGACGAGGCCGGACACAAAATGTATGGCTAAAACTGCACATTTTTATGTTTATTTCGTCACATTTTAAATTTCAAGGGGTGCTTATTGAAGAAAATTTTACGAGAAAACCAATGGAACCACTTTAAGAACCTCAAAGTGTTGTAAAAACGGAGTAATAGGCGTGTAAAGTTCCCAAATTTTGTCCGACCTCTTCTACTGACTCTATCCACTGTGTGTCGCTGCTATCTCAAAGGGCGTCGTCGTCCGCGCCCCCTTCGCTTCTTCCCAGAAAGAGGTCGAGGGCCCCAATATAACATCTTATTTTTTGACAGCCCACTTTCGTCATTGTATCTTGTGTATCTGTGCAAAAAATAAAATCTTGTATCTTTACATTTAATTTTAATACAGTTTGTCACATTTTTTTCATTTACTCAACATTTCTATTATTATTATTTTTATTAAATATTTTATTTATGTATTTTATTCATTTATTTTACTTGGGAAATTCTCTGTCGACTTCCATGTTTCAATTCGTGGAATTCCAAAGCATGCAATTTTGAATTGGGCGTAGTTATGCTAAAAGGAACTATGTTGCGAGCAAACTCCATGTACATAGTTCCGTCTGGCAAAAGTACGTCCACTTGTACCTAGCACGTATGATTTTGTTGAAATTCAAAAAACATTTTACCGCACTGTCTCTCCAGTTGAACGGACGTCAAAGTGCCTTTTTTGATGATGTCAAGCTCCATGGTTGAGGAAAAAGTGGACTTATTGCTGTTTTCAAAGAAATGTGGTGTCAGTGCAGCTCTTGCGTGTGTGGGAGATTTGTGATTTAAGTGCTTTTCCTTTCGTGCAACTGCATGAGAGACATGCTAGTGCCACTGGTTTTGTCTGAAACAAACTACAAAGCTCAAAAAAAGCTCTCAAAATTGAGGTCATAATGGAGGGGATATTCCACGTTATCCTGTGAGTCCACCTCTACAGGGTGCCCCAGGATTAAGCACGAATATTGAACAAGTCGATTCTTTTGGGTCAATAAAATACGTTTTTGTGGTATAACTTTTTTCCAAACCCGCGCTCTCCCTGGGGGCCCCATCATCCCCCTCTTATCCCCTATTATCCCCTATTCTCCCCTATTCTCCCCTATTATCCCCTATTATCCCCTATTATCCCCTAGTATCCCCTAGTATCCCCTATTAGTCCCTATTGGTCCCTATTATCTCGAAAACGATGACTCATAGCGAAAAAACGCAAGATACATTATCTTAATATTTTTTAACGTTTAATCTA